CTAATTCCTGACCAGATACTAATACTACCCCCATCTGCTGCAAAATATCCCTCCCCCATAGATTAACTGGTAGGCCTGGTACTACATAGGGAGTAACATGGCCACCATTTCCTTCCTTATCTCTCCAGGCTAGTGGTCTGGAGCTAACTAGGAGGCTTCGGGTCATCCCCAATTCTTGCAGGGTGGTCATGGTGGGTGTAACAGGCCAACCTGGGGGCCAATATTTCTGTGAAATAAGAATGGTGTCGGCACCAGTGTCTAGGAGCCCAGTAAATTTCTTTCCTTCTATGCTCAACTCCAAAGTAGGGCAACCTGACATATCAGCAACCCAATAAACAGAGACATCACCAGTGGAACCAAACCCTATTTTCTTCTGTCCAGCCGTACAAGCATTATCTGACTTCACCATGGGGAGCAGCACTAACTGTGTTATTTGTGCCCCCTGGGTCAAAACTGCAACTCTGTGGAGAGCGGAGCCGTGCCTCAAAGATGGCGCTTGTTGACCATTGCTTCGTGGCACAAAGGTGGTAAACAGGTTTTGGGAAATTACTGAGGATTAGGCCAAGCATGCAGGGAAGCTACGTGACCTAAGTCATGATTGGTGTGCTTACCACATGATGTGAGGAACTGTGTATGGATTGGTTTGTGTAATGTAAAAAGGTCTGGGTGAAAAATAGTTAATGAGAAGATTCTCCCAGGCACGCTTCAAGGCTAGAGCTAGAGCTAGAGCTATCGCTATTGCTTCAAGGCTATTGCTAGCTAGTGCTAGGCTGCTTTTGCTTTACTGTAATAATTCTTACAAGTGCTGTAACTGTTTTCACCTTGCCACAACGCTAGAAGTCTTATCCAATAAACTTTTTAAAGAATCTTTACCATATCGGGGTCTTGCTCGCGGGACGAGGGACCCCGATATTTGGTGCCGTGACTCGGTGGCCCAATATTTGGTGCCGTGACTCGGTAGACAATATTTGGTGCCGTGACTCTGTGACTTGAGAGAATTTGCATCATAACATGTAAGTAAATTTAGATAAGAAGCTGGGATTAATTCCAAGGAAGCCGCAACAGTGGAGGGACCATTTAAGCTGAGGTCTTGCTTACCTCAGGGAGCTGCTAATACCAGTGGGGACGTGCACATCAGATTCGCCAGGTTTGCAGTTTGGCGACAATCCAGGTTCCTGGTAAAGGGACGAATTCGGCTCCCGGTAAAGGGACGAATCAGGCTCCCAGTAAAGGGACAAGTCAGGTTCCCGGTAAAGGGACAAGTCTAAGTATGCAGTGCTCAGCAATATGGGTAACTTGGCTTCCTTGGTACATATGCAGAACTTATTACAGAAAGTGCTACAAAAGCATGGAATGCTGGTAAATGCGGGATGGTACTTTCATTTCTGCAAACAGTGCAGCGACATGCCCCTTGGTTCAAATTTGCCTGGCCACTTGCACTGTCTCCTGGAGGCCCTTTGCTCCCTAGTGTGCCACCTTGGCCACGATCAGGAACCCAGCAGATGGCTGAGGCTTCGCCTTGTTGTGTCAGGGTGGGCCTTTGGTCTGGGTATATTTACCTATGCAGCCCTCTAAAGTTTTAGCTACTTTTCCAGAATTAATGGATCAGGTAATTCTTAAAGCAGTAGAATGAGCTCGTGAGCATTAATGATTGATAATCAGATTTTTCCTATTGCAATTGATACATCTTCTCCTCAGACTGTAGAATTGGATGCTGTTGCTTTAACTTTAAAATTAGTGCCTAACTCTTTGAATATTCTCTCAGACAATCTGACTAGCCAAAAAAAATGGCCTCTAAAGCAGTCTAACCAGACCCTGCGAGGCCTTGGAGTAGCTAACCAGCCACAACAAAGTGCCTCAGTTATCTCCTGGGTGGACCATGAAGGTCACAGAGGATTTTTCCAACCTTATGTTTGTGTCATTCCCATGAGTTCTTTTTGCTCTGCCCATACCAGAGAAAAAGTTTGGGATGTTATTTTCCATTGTCTGCAAGCCTTTGCTGCTTGGGGTGTTCCTCAATGTTATAAGACAGATAATGGATCTGCATATGCAGCCAAAGCTTTTGCCACCTTTTGTACTGAATTTGGCATAAAACATTCACAGGCATACCTTACAATCCTACTGGTCAAGCCATGGTAGAGCATGCCCATTTGGTCCTTAAAAAATTATTAATAAAACCAAAAGGGGGAATGTTGGCCTCCCTATATCCCTCTAGTCCTAAGCATCAGCTGGTTTTGGTGACTTATATTTTTAATTTCTTAATTTTGGATTTGGATGGCAGTTCTGCTGCTGAACGCCACACTGTTGGCACATTCCCCTGCAAAGATTGGGTGATGTCGAAGAATGTTTTAACAAAACAATGGATGGGCCCGCATCCTGTCTTACGACGGACGTGAGGAGCGGTTTGTGTTTTTCCTCGGGATTCGGAAGGACCAGTGTGAATGCCAGAACGTTTGATGCGAATTATAAAAATGCCAGAGCAAGATGAACCTTTAGATGTGGTGAATGCTGACCGGGTCAATATTTCTGCAGATGATGGAGGCTTGGACCCCCGGGTTCTCAATCACTAAGTCTATTACAGCCAAGCATGTTGCCTGGAGGTGAAGATGGGTGAACTCCACCCACAGTCAAATCCAGGACAGCTTCACTTGTGCCGCAAATCAAGTCTGTTACTTTCTCCACATCAATGCCTACTGTGATCCCTCATCAACAAACTGTTGGTTGGATCATGTGCTCTATGCAAAACATCTATGCGCTAATACAAAAAGAGAATGCCCAGCGGCTGCTGATGCAAGGATATGCGGACATGTGGCATGTTATGTTACAAATATCTGAGGATGCTTGGGTTTCTAAGACACACTCTCATGCTAATTGTACCCCAACTTGGTGTTATGGTATGGTAGTGTATTATGTTCCCAAATTCCCAAAGTGTTGTGTTCCTTTCATGTGTTACCTGTATTAATTGATTCCAATTTTCTGAAGCCTCAAATTGATGGAACCCATATTGATGAACATAATGTTACTTATCAATTGCAAGATTGTGTCCCTACGGACAGAGGTCCAGTGTATAATGGTCTTGTTCATGCTGTGGAACATTGTTAACTTACTCATGCTATCAATGTATGTCATTTTACTGTGTTTCCAGTTGCTAATTATTCAGTGCTGTATGAGATCCAATCTCAGCATGATTTAATTCGTATGGAATTGCCCTCTCCATTTGTTGGATGCATAGAACATCTTGAGGTTCTTTTTTGGTTTGATGAAGTGTTCTTTTTATTCTGGTATTGTTACTTGTTTTTAATTGCTACCTTTATTGTGCCTCACGTAAGCAGCTTCAGCAACAACAGATCATGGCTCAAGCTGTGTTTGCTCTCCACAAGCGTGATGCCTCAGGTACCTGGCTTAATATGCTGGACCGGTAGCCAGAGACGGGTAAGTATCTGATACAGTTTTACTGACCTAAGACAGGCGCCACGTCTTTAGCCACGTGGTTAGCCCATGACAGGTAAGGAAAGTCTGGATTTGGTACACCTAAGACAGGCACGGTCCCTTATTTTAATAAAACAAAAAGGGGGAGCTGTAGAGAGCGGAGCCGCACCTCAAAGATGGCGCTTGTTGACCATTGCTTCGTGGCACAAAGGTGGTAAACAGGTTTTGGGAAATTACTGAGGATTAGGCCAAGCATGCAGGGAAGCTACGTGACCTAAGTCATGATTGGTGTGCTTACCACATGATGTGAGGAACTGTGTATGGATTGGTTTGTGTAATGTAAAAAGGTCTGGGTGAAAAATAGTTAATGAGAAGATTCTCCCAGGCACGCTTTAAGGCTAGAGCTAGAGCTAGAGCTATCGCTATTGCTTCAAGGCTATTGCTAGCTAGTGCTAGGCTGCTTTTGCTTTACTGTAATAATTCTTACAAGTGCTGTAACTGTTTTCACCTTGCCACAACGCTAGAAGTCTTATCCAATAAACTTTTTAAAGAATCTTTACCATATCGGGGTCTTGCTCGCGGGACAAGGGACCCCGATACAACTCCAGCATGAATACTGGCTAAAACTTTAATTTCCCTGTATAGTCTGTATCAATCACTCCTGGGGTAACATGAACTTCTTTCAAGGCTGTGCTGCTTCATCCCAGCAGCAGCCCTACAGTGTCAGGGGGTAGTGGCCCATAAATTCCAGTGGGAATAGCCTGTACCCCCATTTGTGGTGTCAATACGATGCAGGAGGTGGTGTGGAGGTCCCATCCTCAGCTGTCTGAGCTCCCTCGGACAAGGTCACGAATGGTGTTTGTCACTGAGGGACAAACTGAATCACTGGCCCATACACTGGTGCTTGTGAGGCCTGGGGCTGGCCCCTGCTCCTGTTTCCCGACACAGATGGCTGCCTGGAGACATCTATCTTGGACCTGCATTCATTTGCCCAATGTTTCCTACGTTGGCATCAGGGGCATACTCCTGGTGTCTGCCTGTCCATTTTAACAGGAGCCTGTGCACGACCCTGGAATGGGTAGTTCCAACAGATATGTCCTAGCTGGCCACATTTGAAACATCCCTCTTTCATGTGGGCCCCCAAGCCTGTGGTGGTGCCACCACACAATGCCTCTGCAATTATTGCACCCATTATCTGTCCTTCCCCGATGTCCTTAAAAAGTTTAAGATACGTGTTAAGGGGCTTATGCTTCCAAGGTCTAATTGCCTCCTGGCACCATTTGTTGGCATTTTCATATGCTAGTTGCTTTACAAAAGGCATGGCTTGATCTGCATCACCAAATACCCTACCTGCAGTTACCAGTAGGCGATATACAAATGCCTGGTAGGGCTCATCTGGGCCTTGGACAATTTTGGAGAGATGTGCATGTAGTGAACCCTTTGGTGATAAAGACTTCCAGGTCCTTACTGCAGCAGCAGCGGTCTGAGCATAAACACCTGGGTCATAATTAAGCTAATTCTGTACATTAGCAAAATTCCCCTCTCCTGTCAACATGTCATGATTTCTCTCAGGAAAGCCTGCCTGGGCATTTTGCTGTGCTGTGTCAAGGCAAAGCTCATAGAACTTGGATTTCCACATTAGAAAATCGCCCCCATCCAGAGTGGCCCTGCAGAGCTGTTTCCAATTGGCCGGGGTCAAATTGGTAGTGCCAAGGCTTCAATCATGGAAACAGTGAAGGGGGCCGATGGGCCATACTTGGCAACAGCCTCCCTCAGACTCTTTATGCCCTTAAAGGACAGTGTTAGGTGCTGCCTTATTCTCTGCCCCTGCTGATCTTCTACCTCAATTACTGGGAAGGCAAAGCGCCTAGCAAGGGCAGCTGCCTCAGGCTCTCCCTGCTCCTGTGCTTGCTGAACCACACGTTCCACAGCTGAAAGAAAAGTTGAAAGCAGGGGTCCAGTGCAAGCCCCAAAAGTGCATCCACTCTATTCCTGCATCGACTGAGGGTAGAGGCACTGAAGCTGCTCCTGTAAATCTTTTACAAATGTACCCAGATATGAAGTCGCCAATGGTTCAGGCAGCGCAGAGGGTTCTGTGCCTGTCCAAGAGGAATTTTTGCTAGGCACAAGCTCTACAGGTGGAAGATCCTGGACAAACTCATTTCCATCCTTTTCCTCTTCTTCCTCCTCAGAAGAGGACTGCGAATCTTCTTCACGCACACTTTCTCCAGACTTTGTCTGGTTTGGGGTTCCTTCTCCATTTTTACCCTGGTTTGCAGCGCTCTCCTTTTTCTAATGGATAGTTTCTTTATGGCGGGTTCGCACCACTGCTTGAGAGGATGGCAAAGTATTTTTTGCCAAGTGCCAGAGAAGGAAGGTGACTACAAGGAAGCAAACCATGGGAATACATCTCAGACAATTTCAAAGAAACTCTGCGAGGCCTTAAGCTTAGTGTCAGTGCCTTGTGACTGGAGCAGATCTCTGATTCCTTTAATCACCTGCATTTTAGTGAGTTCTTGCCCCATGATAAATTTTACTTATGCCCCTGCAAAAATTTTTAAACTTGCCTCTAGATTTCCGGGGTTCCTCAGATTGTCCCTCGTGCCTCAACTTTAGGAGAAGGTCTGGGGATAAAATTAATTATGCCCCTCTAGAGTTAAATCCTAAACTTGCCTCCAGATTTCTGGGGTCCCTCAGATTGTCCCTCATGCCCCGAATGGTGAGAAGGTCTGGGGATGAGATTAATTATGCCCCTCCAGAATTCCAGGGGCCCCTCAGATTGCCCCTCATGCCCTAGACAGGGAGAGGTTCTGGGGATGAAATCAGTTATGCCCCTGCAAAATTTTAAAACTCTAAACTTATCTTCATAGGTCCATGGGTCCCTCAGAAGTCCTTCATGCCGTGCCCCACGTTAGGAGCCATTTGTTACGGCTGGCTGCATCACTAGCGTGGGACATGGCAAGGGTCTGAGGGATTCAAGGCACAGACTGGAGACCTGTGATGGTGGAAGTCTCTCTCCGAAGCCTCTCTGAGGCTTCCCTTTATTGCATTCTCCCCTGACCTTTCACCTACTTCTTGTTTACTCTTTACCCCACACTCTCATTAGTGAATATTAGATACAGCTGAGACAAGGTGCTTCTAGCCCCAAGCCGATTCCCTGTAGTGTTCAGCTTAATGAGTGCTAGTCAACTCCTTAGCCCACAACAATGGCCTGTGTGGAGCCAACCTGAAGCCAGGAGGTTCTACCAGGTCTCCCATGCAGGTGCAGGGTCCCAAGACTTTTGGCCATCCCTGGCTGTATTACCAGACCACAACCAGTGACCTTAATTTGAAGTGAAATGGCCACAACACAAACTGGTGCTGATACAGAATACAGTGACTGTAAAGCAAGGACGTTAGCAATGGCTAACGTGTTGGGGCCTGACCAGTTTCTCCTGCACCCCTTTGTTTTTCTTACATCCTCCTGGAGGTGTTATGAACTGGCCCAGCATGATCTGATCCCAGACCTGATCCACACATGTGCTGGTGAGTACCATAACATGCTTGTTCTGGGTTGCTCCCAAACTTGGTTCTTGCACTCACCGACACCAAATGCATCCTGACAGAAGACTTCCCAAAACTGTTCTATCGGGTTTTTATCCAGTAGATCATCTCACACAACAATACTGGCAGGTCTTTGTCACAGACTAACTTAGTCCACTTTCTTTCCTGGTAGAAATAATGGCCTTTCTCAATGTTCCAATAGATATTCTGGTCTTACTTTTGTGTACTAAAACCCAGACACACCTGATCCACACCCAGACACAGCTCTCATGAGGTTCAGCAGGTGTTGAGACTTAACCCAACCCATCCTACACCAATCCTGATTTTCTCAAACACTGGTGGGTGTTGGAATCTAGTCCAGCCTGGTACTCCTCTGCCCAAGTCCATACCCATGCCAAGTGACACTGCAGTCATGTCTCATCTAGATAACAGTCCCATTTCAGCTTCTGTGATTACCAGAGGGAACCACAACCAATATAACAATTTGTTTAACTCAACAACCACACCTATCCCCAGGCACCAATCTTGTGCATGAGAGTGGTTGATTTGACTCAGCTCAGCATAGCATATCTCCTGTCTTGGTGTTTGCCATCAGATGCTGCAGCCTGGCTTGGCCTTGCCCTCCCCCAGTCTCAACTTCTGCTGGTGAGTGCTGCAGCCTAGCTCTGCTGAGTCTTGTCTCATCCTGGCTCATGTAAATTTGGAAGTGTGATATGGCCTAGTCTAACCTAATCTGTTCTCTAGCCTGGCTCCAGCACATGTCAGTGGAAGCCCTGACAGGTAAGTCCCCATTGCTAGCTTTAGTTGCACTAGTGAGTGGTAGTTGATGGTGAATAAAGCTAATTAGCCTAACTAAGGTCTCTCCCATGAGCTGGTGCATTAGTCTTATTCTTAGTGGTCTGCCAGCTTTCCTCTTACACACTATTTGATCCCAGTCCCTTGTTTACCTGAAATTACAGTGCCTTAGTCGATAAAAGTCCCTCAGAAGTCATTCCTTATCTTCAACAGATTCCTTCAGTGGTCCTCCCTCCACTCCTCTCCTTAACCCCCTTTCCTGATTAATCCATGGATCATGGACATGGGGATTTCCCCAACTTGTTCTACCCATCTTTTTTTCCCCATTTTATTATATTTTTGACAATCTTTACATAGTTAATTAGGGTAAAGCGTTCAAGGGCTACAGGAAAGTGGGTAAGCTAATATTTCCTTATTTTTTCCTTAGGTTTTCTTCAGATATCTGAGGTCTAGAGGGGTCTGAAGGGAGAAGCCCCACCCAGTCTCCCACCCACCCGAGGTCCATGATGTGGGGCATGCTCCAAGGGTCTTGCTCAACTGGTTTTGATAGTTGAACAGTTATGAATTGCTGTCAATCTTGTCACTCCAAGCATGATGAGGTGGTTAAAAAATGCATTGATTGCGCCTGGCGGCATGGCCTAGTGACTAAAGTCCTCGCCTTGAATGCGCCAGGATCCCATATGGGCGCCGATTTTAATCGCAGAAGCCACACTTCCCATACAGCTCCCTGCTTGTGGCCTGGGAAACGAGTTGAGGATGGCCCAAAGCCTTGGGACCCTGCACCCGTGTGGGATACCTGGAAGAAGTTCCTGGATCCTGGTTTTGGATCAGCATAGCATCGGCCATTGCGCTCACTTGGGGAGTGAATCATTGGATGGAAGATCTTCCTCACTGTCTCTCTTCCTCTCTCCTTATCTGACTTTGCAATAAATAAATAAATCTTTAATAAAAATGCACTGGGCCTGGCGCGGTGGCGCAAGTGGTTAAGGTCCTCGCCTTGCGTGCCCGGGATCCCATATGGGTGCCGGTTCTATCCCAGCAGCCCCGCTTCCCTTCCAGGTCCCTGCCTGTGGCCCGGGAGAGCAGTTGAGGATGGCCCAGAGCTTTGGGACCCTGCACTCGCGTGGGAGACCCGGAAAAGGCTCCTGGCTTCGGAACGGCATAGCATCGGCCGTTGCGCTCACTTGGGGAGTGAATCATCAGAAGGAAGATGTTCCTCTCTGTCTCTCCTCTCTGTATATCCACCTTTCCAATAAAAAAAATATAATAAAAATAAATGTTTAAAAAAATGCACTGATTGACACAGTCGATCTTTGAGTCTTCGTTTCCATTTTTCGCTGCCAACATATAGTTGAGGTGGTTGATTGACTTGTTCTGTCTTCTGTCTTTTCATGGTTAAAGTTCTGAGTTTGGCAGTTAAACTGGGGAGCTCCTCAAAGTAACTTTGAGGTGTTCCCAGACCAGATTCATGTATGTGCTAGCAAGTACAGGGCCCAGCACAGTCCATCACCTGGATCAGCTGGGTTGGTTCTGTTTTCAGCGCTGCTTCCACTGGAACCAATGGGTGTTGCAGTCCAGCCTGACTCTGCCTAGAATGCACTCAGCCCTCACATAAACCACTGGGAGCTCCAGCCCAGTCAGTGCAACCCGCAATAAACCCCACCATGCCTGCTCACTACCCTGGTTTCCCAATATGTGCAGCAGACTATTTCAGTCTGTCCCACATCCCATTTGATTCTCATACATGTCAATTGGTATTAAAGTTTAATTCCATCTAACCAGCTCCACCAACCAGCTCTCAGAGATGTTGTTGGGTGCCTATCTGTGTATCCACCCCTGTCCCTGTCCTAGTTTTTGTGATCACCCATGGGAGTGGTAATTCCTCACATGCCACTCCCATGCCCGAATTATGCACTCTCCTGGTGGTTCTGTCATTTAATTTGACAGAATTAGCCCCCAGTGCCAGCTGATGCTGTGGCTAAGCCCAAGCAGCCTTCACCCACCCTTATTTATGCTTGCACCAGGAGGAACAATCAGCTAAGCCTGGCTATTCCCTGATCTAATCCACAAGAGGCACACTAGTGTTGTAGCCATGCTTAGTCTGATCTGCCCCTATCCCAGCTAACACTCTCTAGTAGGAGTAGCTGTCCAGCAGAGGAACAACCTTATATTCCCTTGCTGACTCCACCCCCTCCATTCCTGGTTCTTTCGCCTGCTAGTTGGGCGCTGCAGTCACATCCAGTAAACTGACTTTACCTTTGCTTTCCATAATGTGCACTGGTTTTGTTGTGACTGAACTTGGTTTGTTTTGGTGCCTGGATTTGTCAGTAGATGATGTGAACTGATTCAGCCTGGTCTGCCACCGACCCATGCCAAATGTATGCCAGTGGGTAACTTTCCATGGCCTGTTCTGGGCTGTTTCCTATCACGCTTTTTGTGCTTACCTGCAGGGTCTGTGTCCTGCCAGAGGAGTTGCCCAGGCTCCTCCGTCAGAACCTCTCCCAGTGCCAGACTCTGCACATACCAGGGGTCCATGAGTCAGTCCTACTCAGTTCAACTCTTGTCCCAGCAGGAACAGTGGCTTTTCCTTACTAGCCTTCAGCCCATTCTCATTCTTATTATTGGATGTTTCAGCCCAGCCGTGGCTTATCCATATCCACAAACAGCTCACACATGGCTCAGTAGGGGCAGGGACCTAGCCTAGTCCATCCCACAGCTACCCTGGTCCTCCAGGACACCAGATAGTGTTGGAGTCTCACCTGGCTTGGTGCATCCAGTCCCAGTCCACATTTGTGCCAAGGGAGATCACAACCGTATCCTGATCAGAACTCAGCCCCCATTCCAGCACATATACCCCTTGGTGGGAGCCTCAACCCAGCTAGAGTGTCCCCTTAGCTTCACAACCAGGCCTGTTCCCAGCCATAGATCATGCACATGCCAGTGGTTGCTCTGACTCAGCTTTGCACAGCCCCTCACCTGTACCGACTCCTGCTTTAGACTCTGTGGGCTAGTATCCCTGGCTCATGCAGACCAGTAGGTGGAAGAGCCTAGCTCAGCATGACCTGTGCTCCATCCTGTTATCTAATTTTGCTTGTGTGCTAAGGTTTGCTTAGTCCTGCCCAGTGAACTCAATTCCATTACCAACTCACACATCAGCCAGCCACTGAAGCTACTTTGCTCAGCTTGTCCAACCGCTAGGTCTGGGCCAGATGTTACCAACAGGAGCTATGACTCACCAGAAGATGTTCCCAAGTGCCTCCACTTGTTCCACTCCAAGACCCAGTTCTCACATATGCCATTGGGTTTTTTTTGCCAGTGTCCAATGTAGTCTAGCCTTCCATTTGGTTTTGTATGACCTGGTGAATGTTGCAGCCCAGCACCCACCCCACACTCTATTCAGGATGCACATCCTGCTGCTGCTGCCTTGACCAGTCCAGACTGTTGCTGGTTCCTTCCTTGTGAGTGATGGCAGGATTCTTGGTCACACCTAGCTTAGTCCATCACCACCCCAACTCTTGAGCTAATAAGTGGGGCTAGTATTTCCAGAGAGTTTGGCCTACACATCCCCCACAGAATCAACTCGATATGGTTCTCTTGTGTGCTAGTTAAGGCCATGGCAGTGCCTAATGTGGTCCATCTCCTGATCTGTCATCATGTCAGGTGACAGGATATGAGCCTGCTAGACAAACCCTGAGTCTTAGATTGCATGGACTGATGTTTGGTGCTCAGCATTTTTCAGTGATTACAAGTTCTTCAAAGGAAAAGTTACTCTGTCATTTGGAACCTTTAGGAATCATTCACAATCCAGAAGCACAGTGGGTTCAGTCTGTAGTTCCCTAAGCAACGCTTCAAAGAACCAAAACCCAAGACCTCACTACTGGGCAGTCAGCAGGTGAAACCTGGCACCAAATGGTCTCGTCCATCCCCAATCCTATCTCCTGCTCTATGATGGTGACAGGTGGGCCGCGGGGCTGTCCTGCCCCTGAGACCTCCCCTCTTGGTGTACTCACTCTAAAGAGAGCATCTGCTGGAACCCAGGCATGCCCGGGGATAGCTCACCACATGCACCAGGTTGCTGGAGTCAGGAACCCGAGCATGGAGTGGCCTGGACTCACACCCACAATGTTGTACCAATCCTAACATGATGCAGATACAATGCCCCTCTGGCAACATCAATCAGTCCCCCTACAAGACTGTACAATCAGGTGCCCAAAAATGGACCACCTGGGGACAGTCCACACTCTGTGGCAGGCAACCAAAGGGTGTCTATGTGCTCAGAGCCCCAACGTAGCCAGGTGAATAGCATTTACTTGTGTGCAACATCCCCAAATATTCTTGTAGAGGGTAGAGAAATTGAAAAATGACAACAATTCAAAGGGGAAGGAGGGCTGGCACAGTAGCCTAGCAGCTAGTCTTTGCTTTGAAAACACTATGATCCATATAGGAAAGGTTCTAATCGGGACCCCGCTTCCTATCCAACTCCATGCTTGTGACATGGGAAAGTAGTTGAGTATGTCCCAAGGTTTTGGGACCTTGCACATGCATGGGAAACCTGGAATAAATTCATGGCTCCTGGCTTCAGGTAAGTTCAGCTCAGGCAGTTGAAGCCACTAGGGAAGTGAATCACTGGATGCAAGCTCTTCCTTTTTGTCTCTCCTCCACTCTGTACACCTGACTTTCCAATAAAAAAATAAAATAAAATAAATTGAAAATCAACAAGAATCCAATTTTTCTTAAATCTTTACTCAATACACTGAAAAATATTTCAGCTTAGCTTTACTATTTGTCCTCAATCCTGGAGCTCATATCCACAGTTAATTTTACCCATAAAAATAAAATATCCATTCCAGGGACAAGACAGAGCAAGAGACAGAACGTTACAAGGGGCTTTCCAAGTTCAACCTTCTCATTAATAATGAGGACAAACACTAAACCAGAGAGGTGATATAAATGTACACCAATTGCTTAATCACACATTGCAATGACATTTGCAACAGCACACACTGTTTAACATGCTGGATGGGATGTAGACACAGAAAGAAAAAAATGCACTGTTACACACTCTAACAAGTCTTCCCATACTCCCTGTAACCTACTCCATGTGAGAAATTTAAGCCCAGTGTCTCCACCATGCTGTCCAATTCACTCTGAGTGAGAAAATCACCTGTGCCTTGTGTTTCAAGCTGTGATTAGCGTATTGTAAAAGGAGCCAGGATGAGACAATTCATGACATCCACTAGCAGATCTGAGAACCAGGATGTTGTGTAGGATCAGCGCTGCGTCAGGACACAAAAGACAATTCATATCAGTGCTGAGCCGGGGGCATGATGGGCCTGGATAGGCCACAGGATGCAGCAGCATGAAGTGGAATTGGGGGCAAGCTGCACACATCCAAGCCACAGCACACACTGGGGATGATGAGGTGAGTCAAACCATGCCAGTCAGAGGGATATTGGTGCTGGACCCATGAGCCCTCGGGAGGGAACATCTAGTGGGGTCCTGATAGCCTGATGTCAGACAACTCCTATGTTTCTGGTATACACCTGTTACATCTTGATAATTTTCCTAATCAGCAGGCCCCAAGACCAGTGAGGAGTAAGGCAATGGTGTTTTTCAGCTGCAGAACCACCATAGAATAGCTGGTGAGGGAGATCTTATTAGGAATATGCTTATATAGAGTAGAAAAGGGACAATGCAGAAGAATGATCCCAAGAGTACTCCCACCCAACAATAACTCTGTAACAGGCTGATAGGCAGGCCTATCTCTCTGGATCCTCTTGGAGTTCTTATCAGTTCTTAGAGTTGCTTATCAGGGAGTTTTAACACAGCTCCTCCAAGGACAGAGATTAGAGTGCAGCCCACCACTCTGGTTATATACCCAATCAACAGGCCAAGATCTAGCCTTTGTTAGCATTGGACACTGTCAGGATTTTGCCTCAGCGACAAGATGTGCCATGTACCTGTGGTTTCCCACATGTGCTATGCAGGCAGATATCCTGGGGCGATATCCCACACTTACTGTTCAAGGAGAACAATGGCCAACCTGATCCATGTTTGTCCAGATGATGCAAGAAAATCTCCACTCTGCTCAAGATTCATCCTTCAAAGATGGATCTTTAGCATTACAATTGCAGTATTCATCAGTTCATATGTGTGATTCAAATATAAGTTTATAGTAGGAGGTGGAATTTTGAGATTCTAAAAAAGTTCTATTAGATGCATGCGGAATGGTGGCAGTGAAAATTTATTATAAATATTAAAATCTGAAAGCAGAACTCATTCACAATTTCCCACTCACAACAAAGACAGATCATATACAAATTTCATACTAATATTTATCATCATATAGCCTGTGTTCTGACATACTGTGACTCGTCATGTGTATCATTTAACATATTCAGAGTTTCAAAGTTTGTCAGCATCTATTGTACATTTGCAGTTTTTTATTTACATTCTTGATAATGTTTGTTTCATTCACTTTATAAGTGAATGACAACAGGTTTGTGGTAGGCAATGTCTCTTTCCATGCTTTTTTACTTCTGAACTCCATGGCTTTGTGGAAGATTGACTTAAAAAAAAAAAGATTTTTCAGTCAGGGCAATCATATTTTATCTGTTTCTGTGGACATGCTGATTATTAGAGCACTTACGCATTTAACTGCACTCAAAATGTGTTTGCGTATAAATTTTTCCACACTTGTTCACAAATTAATACTATGAATAATTTCTCACACTGATTATTCATTAGACTTCATCTTTGTGAATTTGCTGATGTAAAATGAGACCTGACTGGAAGGAAAGGCTTTTCCACACTGGTAACATTCTGAAGTTTTTTTTCCCGTGTGTATTCTCTGATGTGTAATGAGATTTAACAAGTCAGTAAGGGCTTTTCTGCACTCATTATATTCATAACGGTTTTCCCCTGTGTGCATTCTCATATGTTTAATTAGACTTGAGTGGTTCCTAAAAACATTCCAGACTCACTACATCTGTATGCTTTTCCCCTGTATGGATTCTCTGATGTTTAATGAGATCTGAAGAGTTGTAAAAGGCTTTTCCACACTGGCTACATTCATATGGTTTTTTTCCCTGTGTGGATTCTCTGATGAATGATGAGGGATGACCTATGAGAAAAAGCTTT